TCCAACCCTCCCCCTGCTCCCTGTTTCTTGACTGCCCCCTCCAGAACCCCCCTGCCCCTTCTCCGACCCCTTGGGCCCCTTACCATGCCGCTCAGAACAGCGTGTTGGGCTCCATGCTGCCGCGCTCCCCCACAGAGCGCATAGCCCAGTTCCCGCCCTCGCAGAGTGCTGCTGAGCAGCACGCTGAGCAGCAGGGGAGGGGGAGCAGGGGGAGGCGCTCCAGACTCCTGGAGGCCCGATGCGAACGGCTGGTGATCTGCGAATGCAGGGGGCGGGGGGGAGAGAGAGGCGAGGAGTGATCTGAAGCTGCAGGGGAGAGGAGGAGGGGCTCTGGCTGCCTTTTTAATATAAAGTAAATTGGCTATGTTTGGGCTGGCCAGCCCAGAGCATAATGATGTGAGCTTGGTGGGCAGGATGCTGTTATGTTTGCAATAGGTTGTGTAGCCTCAAAATGCAAAGGCTGGCTCTGCTTGTTAAAATGTTTAGTCTTCTTGGATGCTGCAGTCACTGTCATTGCTGCAAGGGGATCTCCCTTCCACCAGTGTTGCTAGCACATGACGAGGAGGGAGGGCCAAGCACTGCTATAGCCTCACCTCTCTCCCTAGCATTGCCTGTGCCCCTGCCCATGGTGTGAAGAGCTGGTTTTGGAAGGGAGTCTGGAAAGCCATTCTCCTCAGACACACACCCAAGGGAAAACAGCGTGGTGTATGGGGGTGGCAGGATTGATAGATTAAAGTCAGGGGGCAGTACAGATTAGATTTTGGGGATAGAGCCTGGGCTGCTGGGTATTTTAGCCAGGGAGCATTGCATGTATTGCAAGCTGAGGAGGAATGTTTTTGAAGAAGCCCCATGTTTATCTCTCAGCAGCACCAAGCTGCTCAGGAGTGCAGCTGGCTGCCAGGAAGGTCCAGCATTTCTGTTAACTTTTGCCTGAGCCTTTGCTCCAAGTTTTAGGCTTGACACTTTGTGTGCTTTACAAGAGCACAGTGTTTTGCAATGGGATTTGAGACAGAGAAGGCGAATGCCTGGCATCCAGAGAGGGAGGGCATTGTGTGCACGAGGGCAGCATGGATTCCATGCTTAGATACCAAGGTGGTGAGCCTAGTAGAAATGCTGTCCAGAGAGATGAAGAAGATGCGGAAGATGTAGGATTCTGGTTTCTTGGACACGTTCCCTGACTTTTGTTGCTGCTTTTCTGACAGCACTGAAGAAGCGCTCGTATGCTTTCTTTCTCAGACTGTATGAAGTAGGAATGCACACAGGCCTGCACCAGTAATGTCAGTGAAGGCTGGCTAATGAGCTCTACAGGAGTCCACTTGCATCTTAGATGTTTGTTCTATTACTGGGATCTGCAACAGCTAAGATATTTGGGGTTTAAAAGTCTTTCTTTAACTTACAGTTTTCCTCAGTTCAACCATTTGTGTTTCAAGAATTCATTATTCTTTAAGGCTCTTTCCCTGAAGTTATTGACCCATGTTTACAACCTTGAGTGCAGCTAGATGAAGTTTTTAGTTGTGGATTTCCATAACTTTTTGTAAACCATTTTCAGAGAATTGCCTGGGATTGGAAGTTGTCCATTCCTGTTCCACTTGCTGTCCATGTGCTGCATTTCTTAAGTATGCAAAATTCACCTGCCAGATCATCCCCACAGTAGGGGCCCTTATTGTGTGCCACCCAAAGCCCCACTCTTCTGTCTGAGTTCCTGGGCACAGCAATATCCATACAATGCACTTGCAAGCATCAGAATGACTGCACCAGATCTCAGAGATGAAAATGTGCTCATGACACCTCAGAGATTTCCCAAGCCCTACTGGATATTTTCATTTAACCACCTACTCTTTCCAAGAGAGCCAAAGATTCCTGTCCTCTTTGGACCATGACACTCTGCTACTGAAACCCAATGTGCACAAACAAGAGCTGCTGCTGGCTTCGTGGGAAGAACTGAGGAGCATAGCTGCAGGCTGGGGATGCCCTCACTGAAGATGGTCCAGCAGAGTCAGGCAGATGTTTGCATTGACCTAAGGCAACTGGGAGGTGCCATGTGGTTTGGCACCACATAAGAGGAGACACTCATCGAATGTGGAGTTCTCTCACTGTCATTCTCCCTATAGAACCTGGGTCTCTGGTGAAGTGGAGACAAGAAGCTAGCCTCTGGGATTTGCAAACTCATTATATCTGTGAGGGTTAAGCCTTCTCTCTCCCCTTTTCTCTTTGTGCAGGTGCTGCTAGAGAAAGAGAGGGAGAAGGAGTCTTTGCTGGAGGCACTGCTCCAAACACAGGAAGAGTTGACAGATGCCTGTCAGCAGCTGGAGCAGCTTCGCCAAGAGGTGAAGAAGCAACTGAAAGAGCAGGTAGGTTTGACCAGCAGGGAGCAGTAGAGAGGAAGGAACGGGCTGTTAGAGTCCAATACATAGGACAGAAAAAGATGGGGATGAAAGGAGAGAGAAAGGGGACCAAGTCAGGGACTGGAGGGCAGTGCAGAGCTGGGAGAGAAGCACTGGGGCAGAAAGGGAGAGGGCTGCGCCTGGGCAGAGGCCTAGTTAGCTGGTAAGCCAGAGAGCTCAGTAAAAGGAAGGTTAGGCTAGAGGCAAAGATGGAGCCAGGTGGGTTTTGTGCACACAACCACCCAGGCGGAGCAAAGGCAGAAATATGTGGTTGGTGAGAGGGACTCTGGGACACAGAAAGGAAGGAGCAGGATTTGATATTTCACAGCTTTCAGTGACTCACTCTTTGGCCTGGCTGCAGGACACCGTGGAGGGGCTGCAAGCTGAGCTCCAGGAAGCTCAGAATCAGATGGAGGCAGTGGAGAGCAGGCACCTGGAAGAGGTCAAAACCCTCAAACAGGAAATAGACTTTCTCCTTCCGCAGCGAGACACCCTGCAAAACCAGGTGACTGCCCCAGGCACAGTGCAATGGGGATTCCACCCAGGAGGGTGGCAGTCCCCCTGCCTGTCACTCACCCTCAATATGACCCTCACCATGCTACTCAGCCCTGATCCTGGCTGGGCAGCGTGGGGAGGTCCCTCTGTCTTTTGCCTGGTTGCTCACCCCTGATCTCAGCTGGTGGGAACGGTCCCTCTCCCCGTCACTCTGCTGCTCACTCCAGTCCCACCCCAATCTTGGCTGGCAGGGACAGTCCCTCTGCCTGCCCCCCTGCCATTTGCTCCTGATCCCAGCTGCACAGTGGCATATCGCCATCTGTCCTGCTGCTGGTGTTTTTATTTCTGGGAGTGATGGGGATTGGGTGAACAAACTACTCCTCTTAGGTCTCCAAACATATCGAGTTTGAACCTGGCACTCTGAAGATCAGATGATACTTCAATTTGCTTGTTTGCTTTCCCCACAGGATACAGGAAGGCTATTGCATGCTTTAACCTCTGGCTCCTCCACTATTCTGTCATATTTCAGGTGCAAGAGCTAATGGTCACCAAGGATTCCTGGCAACAGATTGGCCTGGAGGCTCAGCGGCAATTGAACGAGGTGCAAAAATTATTCAACCAGAAGATAGTGGAGGCTGCTCATATCCAGAAGATGTTAGAGGGGGAGGGGAGTCGACAGGAGGAGGCGGAGCGTCAGAACACAGAGCTCAGGGCCACACTCAGAGCTCTAGAGGGGGAGAGGAGCCAATGGGAGGAGGCGGAGCGTCAGAACACAGAGCTCCGGGCCACGCTTGGAGCTCTGGAGGGGGAGAGGAGCCGACGAG